GCTTCAATGGCACTGTGACTCAAATCTATAATAATGTGTTAACTTCTACAGACTGAACCAGTAATCCATCAGAGTCCCAAAGGTTTGGACAGACAGAGCTGAACATTATTGAATTCTGTGAAAACAAAACTCAAACCAAAACCAAATAAACAAAAAACATACCACTACTCGAAGGCCACCTGAAATCATTCGTAAATAAGACTTTGACTTTGGGTGTTCTGTTTTGCTTTTGCAGCATGCCGTAAAAGCAATTACTATTCCATTACTGTTCACACAAGAGAAAATTACCAGCTTGTAATTTAGAGGCAAGTGGAGTAGAGAGAAGAAAATGGAGCCGCCCTCTGTAGTTTCCAAGAAGAAGCAGACAGCAGATTCCGTGGTTAAAAAACACAACGTTCACTGCACCAAACAATCGTCTGAACTGTTTCATGTCTATTCATGAGAGAGAACCATCAGTGAGGAGTAGGGTGAGGAAAAATGACAGAAAAAGACAATAGAAAGAGGAAGAAGGGAGCATGTCTTTTAAACTCAAATTGTTATTTCTGGCCCATTAAAACATCAAAATCCACATGAAAACTGCTGATCTCCAAAGAAAACTGTCAAAAATGAGCCATAATTCAAGTATTGTACACTCAGGGAGAGTAAAGAAAACTTGTAGATTTAACATCGGTCGCCTAAGAAAATTGCTTGTAGTTTTATACATGCATTTTTACAAAATTTCCACATTTCTCAGATCTATGGTCTGGCTATTGACACATTTTCAGGTCGGGGGAGAGTGTGAAATATGTCTGGTAGGTTTCAGGTGAAAGTCTTCGTATGTGCCACCTTAGAGAATATTCTGGGTCTCTTCACTTTAAAAAGATAGTTATCAAGTAAATATACCCAGGGTAGAAGACGACTGAATCTCACAGTTCCTTCCAGGAAACAAAGAATTACTATTAGGGGAAAAGTGCCCAGCACTGAACTCAAACAGACTGCGGGTGATGACTCCAAGCAGCAGCATTTAAGAAAGAGCCACAAAGACTCAGAAAAGGAACAGGACAAGACTAGCCCCTCACCCCCAACCGCCCAGCTCCCAGTGAGTGCCCAGCATCCTCACAGCATTCAAAGAGGGGCCTCTGAGGTTGGCTGCTTTCCAGAAGCCGCCCCAAGACACAGCCCCATCCCCAGGCTCCTTTCAGCAGCCAGCCTGTCTCCCAGTTTCACCTCATTACATTTAAAATTTCCAAAGTCTTTTGTTCTGGCCTGGAAAGTGCTATTTCTTAACCTTTCCACTCAATTGATTTCCAAAGATGAAACCAACTTCACCCAAAATGCATCCGCTTTAGGCTTAAGGAAGCTTTGAAGGCTGCTTTCGAGTGAAGACCCGGAACCTGATCAATAGTGCTATTGAAAATATGACTAGATGGAGAGCCACATTTATCTGCTGTTGTGGCTTTTATTAAAGCAGCTTAAATCCTTTGCAAATAAGCTCTTCCAGAGAGCCGGGTCGATAGGATGGCAGAGACCTCCAGAGACCCATCCAGCAAACCCCACCAAGGCCATGGGAGGAAGGAGAGTCATACCCGTGGAGCTGGAAAACCTGCCCCCTCCCTCTCCAGAACAGTCTGCTCAAGGCTAAGGCTTGCATAAGCTGCATTTGCAAATGGATTTGGCTGTGAACGCAGGATTGTTCAATGCAAATATTTCTTCCCTGGTGGCACAGCTCAGTTGAAAAGAGAGGCTGAAAATTAGCTAGCTGTGATGAGGGCAAAGCACCGCTCTGATCACAGGGACAATAATAGAGCCCAATGGCCTGGAGTGTCTTTAATTTGGTATGGAGACGTTGCCTCCTTACTCCCTGCACATGTAGCCACCGCTGGAGAGCTAACTCGCACCTGTTCCCATCCCTTTTTTTATCTACCTACTTAAGTAGCAAACACAGAAATTAGACACACTATGAATAAAAGAGGGCTGGCTCAAGACGTCCTCTCCTTCAGTGCAGTGAATCCTCCAGGACTGATCTGTGTACACGCACTATGCAGGAGGCCCAGGTGCCGGTCTCTGTCGGGCTGTCAGCTTTCTTTCTCCCAGAGCTGCAGTTTTGGATGTTTTATCTGACCCTCCCTTTTCTCTGAGAACTGTCTAGGCTGTGGTCCACATGGAATCGTCAACCTGAGAATGAGTGTGTGGCACACTATCCCCGCAAGAAACTAAGGATTTATATGAAAATGAACCTCAAATTCTGGAAAATGCACAAGACTAAGAATTCATAAATTCCACTGATCTAGTGAGTTCCATGGTGCTTGCAACACAAGGAAAAGAGTAAGTTATAAAAGGGAAAACAGAACGTGTCCACACATGCACGTCAGCAGAGCCCTCATCTGTCCGTAACCCTATGGGGCGGGTGGCAGAGAAGGGTACTGGGCACAAAGTCACTGTCCGGGAGAACCGTCCAGGGCTGGGAAACTTAAATCTAGTATGTTGAGCCTCTGATTATTTCATGACTTCTAGATGTGCACAATCTTAGTGTCTTGGAGCTGTGTGCATTTTCCTTGATCAGGCTCTCCTTGCTGGTACTATTTTCTCTCCCTATCTTCCCCTCTTCCTTTCATCATTTCTCCCTCCCTAGGGCCAAATGCAAACAAACAAAAAACGACTAGATCTTTCTCTTGTTGTTTAATTTCCTCCACCAACAAGCCCTCCTTTCAGCCTGGGAGCCTCAAAGGAGGGCTGAGTGTGGACCAACCAGGGCCTGCCTGCGTGTGCCCCGGGCTCTGCCTACATGTGCACTGGGTCCTGCTTGCGTGTGCATTGTCACTACCAGCCTGTGGACCCATCCCTGCCTGCATGTGCATTGTCAGTACCCGTGTGTGAACCGAGCCCTGTCTGTGCATCCATCCCTGCTTGCGCATGCACTGTCCCTGCTTGTCTGTGGACCCATCCCTGCCTGCGTGTGCACCCGTCATTCCTGCCCGTCATCCTTGTGTGTGCATTCATCATCCCTGCCTGCGTGTGCACCGGCCCTGCCTGTGCATGCACCCATTGTCCCTGCTTGAGTGTACACCCGTTGTTCCTGTGTGCGTGTGCACCATCCCTGCCTGTGTGTACACTTATAGTCCCTGCCTGCGTGTGCATTTGTCACCCCTGCCTGCATGTGCACCGTCCCTGCCTGTGTGTGCACTGTCCCTGCCTGCGTGTGCACCTGTTGTCCCAGCCTGTGTGTGCCAGCTCTCCCAGTCCTGTCACCTCAACCAGCGACAGGGAGCTAGGAACATATGGATCCACCCCTTCACTATCCAGCCTCCTCCAGAGTTCACCAGCAGTGATGTGCATTATTTTACTTAAGCAAGAGTGCACATTCTCACAGATCAAGCAACTTCCAAGTTGGAGAAGGAAAAAAAAGACTCTAGGGTTTTAAATGATGATGCATTGAAATGTAAAATATTTGCTTCAGAATACAAGCCACTTCTTTTTTGGGGCAAGAGCACTAAAGCAGCATCAAAATAGAAGTCCAATTTAAAAATCAGACAGCATCTCGAATTGGGTAATAGTACAGGCCACACTGGGCCATGCCACGCTTACTTACTTCTCTGGAGAAACAGGGAAAGAAAGGCCTCCATGCAGAGAGGAAAGGGTGAACAAAGTCTGCTCCTTTTACTCCTGGACAGGCTGAATACAAACCAAGGTGGCAGCCACCTTTAGGAGATGGATTTCTAAAAGCCACACAGAAGACAAACTGGAAGGCCAGCACAGCTGTCAGAGGTTAGGATGAGAGGGTGGAGCACCTGGGTCCCTGGTGACTGGACACACAGGCGATCCAGGTTATGCTAAAATACAGGACGTCCGGAATGTCCAGTTTACTTGGGAGTCTTTGAGGCAGGATGCCAAGAAATGCCAGGAGGAGGAAGGGACAGCTCGTGGGGCCTCGAAGACACCACGAGTGCGGCTGCACCTGTCCCTGCCTGAGTGTCCACCACCAGGTGGCGTCTGGCTGTAACTGTGTGCCCTCCATCTCGGTCTCCTGTGCAAACCGCACCGCCCTCCACTCGGCCCCCCACAAGGTCCCAGCGCAAGGACAATCCCTCTTCCACGCTCGGGACCGCGGAGAACTCCAGGACGCCACGGCCCTGCGCAAACACGCCGGCCAACCCACGAAAGGAACTTTAGAGAAAGGTGGGGAGGGACGCCTGGGGCTGCGAAGACACGGCCGTCGGAGACGCAATCTCCACTCCTCCGCCAGGAAGGGCTCCCCTGGAAAAAAGTCGGGCTTTAGGGTCAGAAGGGACTTGTGACTTGCGGGGAGACGAGGGGACCCGTAGAGGTCGGAGCTGCCACTAACCACACCCTTGCCGGGGACCTCTGGGCTGGCCCCTCCACTCCCTCCCTGTGGCCGTAGACGCGGCCCCCACCGCGCCTTTCCTCCGAGCGGGCCACTCTGTGGCCTCCTCGCTCCCAGGCGGGGACGCCAGCCGACCGCGGCCAGCGTTTCCGCGCCCCGCTCCTGGCCCGCTCCTTGGCCCAAAGTTAAGTAGGAAAAGCCCCAGAGCGGACTCCTGCCCTCGAGCCCCGCGGGTCTCACGCCCCCCGCCCAGGGCCAGCGGAGGCTGCGGCTGAGAGGGGCTCCACGCGGGCCCGAAGGCGCACACAGAGAACCCAGAACTCCACTGCGCGGCAGAGTGCAAGGGGCGGCACGGGCGCAGGGGAAGCGTGGGAAGGCGCGGGGGGAGGGGGGTCTCGGGGTCAAGGGATGAGGAGCGCAGGGGCGAGTGCAAGGATGCGGAGGGCCACGGGAGTGCAGGAGAAAGCACTGGGCGCAGGAGCGCCGGCGGAGTGGGAGAGAGGGAACGCGGGAGCGCAGGGTCAGCGCAGGAGGGGCAAGGGGGTGCAGGGGGGCTAGGGGGCGTGGGAGCTCAGGGGCAGCGCAGAAGGGGCGCGGGGGTGCAGAGGGAGCCCAAGGGCAGTGCAGGGAGAGCCCAGGGACCGCGCGGGGGCCTCTCCCATCCTCTCCCCAGCGCTACCTCCTGGAAGAGCTCCAGGCTGTAGGTGTTGTCGTCGTCCGCGAAGAAGAGCACGCCAGGCGGCGCGCGCCGGTGCCGATGGCGCTGTCGCAGCCAGGCCAGGCCGGCGTTGCGCTGCTCCGTGGCGCGCGGCAGCCCGGGCCGCTTGTAGCGCCGCGGCGTGGGCACGTGCAGGTGCGTGCAGGGTAGCCCAGCGCGCGCCAAGAGGCGGCTGACCAGCGCGCTGCGCGCCGCCGCGTCCTCCACCAGGATCCAGTGCAGCCGCGCCACCTGGCGCAGCGTGTTGGCCAGGCGCGTGAGCTCGGCCTTCTGCGCGGGGCGCCGGTAGGTGGGCGTGATGGCGTAGATGGTGGGCAGCTCGGGCGCGGGGGACGGGCCGCGGG